GCATCCTCAAGAAACTCACTGAACTAACAACTGTAGACACTAAACCTAAATCTCTTAAAAACATAGTAACCCTGGTTGTATTATCAGCCTTGGCAAGAAGATCCTGCGGCCCAAACAGCTTCACTCTGCGATGAGCAGGAGTCTCTGTGCTCCACCCTGTGATGTTAAGTCATCTCCGTAATGTTTTCTATTATAACATTAACTTCTTAAATCACAAACTCGTGCACAAACACAGCTGCTGCAAAGCATCACATGCACACACAGACTTCGAATGGTTCTGTCTAACTAACCCTTCTGAACTATTCTCTAGAAAGAAATGGCCACGTGCAAGTATGGAAACTGCCTCCAAACCCACCGAGAAAGATAACATCAAGAAAGCTTGCTTTCAACAGAGCAGAACATAGGAAAGTTGGTTTATACCGCAGCTCAGCCAAACTAGCCTTGCATTTATTGTTTTAAGAAATTCTCAGAAATGGCTACACACGATGGTGACAGAAACTCTTTAAACCCAACATAAACCCAACAACTCCACTTCAAATTTCTTGCTTGCTTGCTGTTATCACCTCCCCTGCATACTATAGGATTTATTTGCTTTTTTCTCTCTCTCTCATTGCTCCCCACAGTGCTCATCACAAAACAGCAAAGTAATTTGCCCAAGGACAAAGTCCAGAGCAAAGCTGGTCAGACCATCCAAGTGGCTCCCAGCTTCCTGCCCAGGGCACGGGAATACAATATACATACACTCATCTAATATGTTCTATACCACGAACAGCAGCAACAGCTTTCCCTAGCATCTTATCCTCCAAAACTTTGGACAGCTGCAGGCTGCTGCGAACTGAATGGCCTAAGTGATTCATACATTAGGACACAGCCAAAGCAGTTTAGCATCTGTCTTCTGATGTTTTCCTTCTTTCAGCTAAATACTCTTTAAAAACAGAAAAGATCTTTTAAAAAGAAGCAATGCTGTTTTCAGCAGGTTAAAAAGGAAACCCAAAGTGTATAACTAAGTTTAGTCTCACCAAGGCGGGGGCAGGAGGAAATCAGCTGATCTTCTACAGCAGCCAGGACATTTCTTTTTAAAACACTGCTGGTTACAAAAGAAAGAGTGTACTCACTTACCATTCCTTCAGAAAGGGAATTCTCTCTGAGGTCCTTCAGAAAATCCAGCTCGTCTTCAGTTTTCATCTCCGCCGCTCCTGAAAGCACAGAAAGTTTGCAAAGCACATTTCAATAAAATCCCTCCAATGCCACTGAAGCTCTTTTGTTTATTCAAGGCATTAAACAAAAAATATCAGCAAGTGTTAGTTTTCCTTTCAGCAGCTGGTTTCATTCCCAACTTTGCTCCTTGTTTGCTATTTGTTTTACAGTGATGGTGTCTGTCACTGAAGGAAACTATGAAATGTCAATGAGCACCAGGAACCTGCCAAAAGGCTCACACGCTATCTACACTATACTACCTCTGCGTACGTGTGCACGCAGGAGAAGGCTTGGCTTCCAACATTGCTGTCACATGATCAAACAGTATATATTTATTTTTCTTTTCTTACCTAACTTGGACAAAGGTGGGAAGTTTTCTCAGTTGGCATTTTCAGTGTTTGTGCTACTTCTGCAATGCATTTCTTTTCTCTTTATCCTGAAGCAAGTTGCTTAGGTCCCAAGATTAAAAATCTTGACCTTAAGAATTATTTGAACAGGGAACAAGGATTTTTTATTCCTAATGACAACGCTGATGGAACGGAAAGGCAGATGCTCCGCCCCCTGCTCCCTCTCCTTAGCAAGCAAAGATGCAATCCTTCATCAGCTGCCACTGCATTCAAGTGGGTCTCTCTACATTTTCCTAGCTTAAAGGCAGTCTCTCATAAGTTCTAAAGAGGCCCTTTTTAAAGTGAATAACTGTTTTTATCCTGTGACACTTCCTGTGATTTGGACTTAAACATAAAAAAATCAAAATAAAGAAATAAATTCTATAGATCCAGGGATAACAAACTGCCTTGCAGATGGTGAATGGAGTTTTGCTATCCCCCTCCTTCTGAGTTATGAAAATATCACTCTCGTTCCACAGATGTGGATGTGGGGGTACACACAGGTAAAGTGATTTGACCAACACCATGAAGTTTATCAGTGGCTGAGCCAGTGACAGAGCCCAGCTCTCCAAGTCTCTTAATCTTAACCATGACATCATTCTTCCTCTCTATCATTTGTTCCTAAGCACTACATTAATGAACAGGAGGGTTTGTTTTTTTTTAAAAATGTTGCTTTTTTTAATAGACAGTAATTTGTAGTGAGATAATCTGTATATGCAGTGGCCCCAGAAAATTAAAGTCCTAGTTTAAATCAAAATCATTGCAAAAGGTAGTGGACCGCTGATGGTTTTCTAGTGCAACCAATATAGCTTTAAGGGCCTACAGACATTTTGACTATGCTCATACTTCTATTCAGAGATAAGCTGAAGTTTGCCTTTGACTACCCTTCCCCACTTCCATCACCTGGCTCTTTCATCCACAGGAAGCAGAGAAGGAGAGAAGTAGTTGGTAGACTGAATCCTATTAGGGGTGTGCTAGGCAGGAGCAGGAAAATTAAGCAGAGCTCTTCCAGGAATCACCAGTCTGGTCTCTCCTCTTGTGCTGGCTCCAGTTAGGGGAAATCAGAGGCAGGAAATGGGTACAGAATTGCCCCTGGCAGACTTTCTCTGTTTCCATCTTGCTCAGCTGTGATAAATACTGAACTGTAGTCAACAGGCTACAGAAAAGCTCAATCTCAGGTTCTGATGCTCAGGTCAGTGCCTGGGGGAAGGCTGGAGAGTGTTTAATGTAGATGGTCAGTGGACCTGGCAGTAGGCTTAAGCAGCACAGCAGACATGCTTTGTTGCGTGTTAGGCTAATCCCCACAAAATTACTGATTACAATGTTGTGCTGCTCTGACAGGAAAGGATGAGCTTACGGGGTGTTGATAGAGAACCTCCTAAAAACTGGAACCAGTTAAGCAGCTTTCCTATGGCTGTGCAGTCATCGCTCAGGGGACTTGAGTTAGCTGACAAAATAGCTGGTGACCAATTTATTTAACTATAAAAGGGGTGTAGCCGGCACATTTTGCTCCTCCCATGCAATCCCTTGAGACACAACGTTGGAAAAGATAAATGCAACGATAATGGCCCCAGGAACAGGCTGGTAGGAAGTGACAATTTGCTAAAGCCCAAAAACGCGTGCCTTGACTTCCACCATTGTTTAGGGTCTCGGGTGTATCAGCAAAGAACTGTTTGCAGGCTGGAAGAGGGAACAGACTGGTCCCAGGAAAGTTAGATGGGAGGTATGAGACTGGGAAGGAACCATCTGATTGCTCAAACTCAGCCGTGGGTATCAGAAAATCAGGATTGCATTCTTGGTTCTGCCACAGATTTCTTGCATGATCTTGGACAAGTCACTTATTCTCAATGCTTTCCTGTCTGTGAAACAGGGATACTGAGTATACTTCCCTCTTCACAGTACAGTTGAAAGGATACATTCACTGAGGTGTGTAAATCATGTTGAGGTGCTGTAGAGCAGCAGTCCCCATCTTCACTGCCTATAAGCAACAATACTAAAGTAATAATATGCTGCACACAATATCCTACTTGGCTCTCTGCCAACTTTTGCATTATTTTTTTTAAAGTTCCTGTGCTTCCAAGCAACCTCAAAGGGTCTCTTTCCTGGGTAACATGTTGCCCTCAAGCCAGGGACCACTGCTGTATAGGATGCAAAGAATGTATCAAACCTTGTCCCCACTAAGACCTAACCTTAACCCCATGGTCCTCACGTTTACCAAAGTCATGGACTTTTCCTTTAGCAGCATCAAGCCTCATCATTACTGTGAATCTAAAAGGGCTGTCAAAAGCTATACAAAAACGTAAGGTTTTAATATGATAAATCAGTGTCTGACAATTCGTTACATATTAGGTCTTACACTTGACAAGTCTAGCCTGGTCTTTGCGAGCTTCCAAAAACACCACCTGAACAGCACCGGCACGCGACACGGACAAACCAAGCTTTGTGCTCTGTACTGATGGAACATCAGTTCTGGCAAAATTTCCGAGAAGAAAGTAAACCACTGGCAGAAGGACGTTTCTGCCTGTACAGCTTTCCTCTCCTTGAGAAGTTTTGCCAACACTGCTATGCTTGGGATATGGGGTTTTTTCACATTGCAAGGACAAAACTTTGCAGCGTAGACTTGGCCCCAGGCCAGCGTGCCTTGTTACCTGTGCCCAATGCAAATCAGATCAAATGAAATGCAAAACTTTAGAACTCCTGGTTCAGAGATGATACCTTTTATTAGATCAACTAAGAAATCATCTCTGAACCAAGAGTTTGAGAGTTCTGCATTTCTTTTTGTCTCACACCAACATGGCTACCAAATGCATCCCTGAATCTAATGTGCATAATTCCAACTACTTACATGAAAAAAACCCATTCCTTGGTTGCAATTCAATGCTGATTAAAAGGCTCAACCCTAGATGCCACATGAGGCTCTCCTCTGTGGAGCAGTGAGGCTTTTTTTTTTCTCCAAGGAGATTCTCCTTGACCTCACTGGGACCACAACGAATATCTGTTTGGGACGATGGCTTGTTTTTATCTCGGGGCCGGGGAGGGCTCTAAATCTCCATGATGCCGATCATATGAGAAGCTGATGAGACAAAGGAGCAACGTCACTGAGTGCAGTCATCAAGTGCTTCAAATGAAGAACATGCACCTAACCCTGCATATTTCACTGGGGAGCAAAATCAGTTGATTGCTTATCACAAACTGCGCTAGGAACAAAAACACAGTGATGTGGGTCTCTGGAAAGTAGCAACCTGATGTGGGGATATCTTTGCCGGACACCAACCCATCCTGTAAGCAGAGGATTCTGGCACCCGCTGCTGAGCAGCAGTTACTTCTCCACAACCACAATACAAGTATTAGCATTTCTTGACAGGTAGGGACAAGTCTTGTCAATGAACAACCAGCAAGAAAGAGTACTGCTATGAAGCTGCGAAGGACTCGGCAGTACTGGTGTGGGTCCTCTGACAAGATAAAATTCCCCAGGTGAGTCAGGCACCTGCCCAGGCAGAAAAATAAAAGGTGCACATGATAATAACAAACTGCCTGAATTTGCTGCTGGGTAGAATTAATGTAGATCCAGCCCAGCTTCCTGGTTACAGCAGAAGGATTTCAGGCAGCAAATCCAACTGTAAACTCCGATTCGTAGCATCTGCTTCTCTTCCTTTTAATCTGTCCTGCCTGCACTCCAATGCCATTACACTGTGTAAACTGATCCAACAGCTCCCTAAGAGAAGCCATTCTAGCCAATTTTTTTCTTAGTGCAGCTTTATATTCTGGATAAACAACTCTTCCTTATGGGTAGGACTGGACCATTACATCCTAAATCCTTGTTTGTAATGCGCCTTCACATACTTTAGATCTGTAACAAGGTCGCCTCTCCATTTCCTCTCGTGTACCCTGATCCGACAGAAAGCTTTAATGCTACGAAAAACACAAGCTGCTTTTTTCATTGTTGATACTAGTCTCTCACACCATTTCATTCTTTGCTCTTTGGATTTCCAGATATGAAATCATGCATGAAAAACCTGTATATCTAAATCGCAGGTGTAGCGTTAAACCTCTGCTAACGAGCCCTAGACGGCAGAAGCCTCAAAACAAGAAGCTCCCAGAAGAAATTAACACTCCTGGGGATCGACTTACAGCCGCTCCCAATCTACTGAAATGTCAACCTGCCCCCGTGCAAAAATAGGCTTTTTTTTTTTTAAAAAGGAGCCTTCTGATTTACATAAACAGCCTGTTACACAGCAACTATTGCCTTTCCATGACTAATACAACTCTTTAAACACTCAAAGATTACAAAATATCCTCCTGCACCCCAAAAAGTACCTTCTGCTAAAATAAGTCTCCTACACACCTCTACTTGAGAATAACTGGGGGAGATTGGGGTGAGGGGGTGACTCTCTTCCCTTTTTATGCAGAAAGAGGCAGTCAGGTGTTTATGTGGTTTTGTATTTTCCACCTTTAAAATTTTGGCAGTTGTTCTACTCTGGTTATTTTCTTTGAAGTTCCTAAGTAGCCTTTTGCTTTGTTTTAAGCTTCTTAGGGAAAAGATGCACCTTGCCTACAGATTCCTTTTAGCCAAGTGAACAGTGGCAGACAGCCCGACTGTTCGCATATCACACCAGCCTGAACAGGTGGAGTACACAGCCTGAACTGAACTAGCTCCATGCCCAGCTAGCTGTTCACCTACAATCTCGGTCCAGACAAGACACAGAAAGGTTTTTGGTTTGTTGGGTTTTTTGCTCCATTTATCAGATTGTTTTCTTATTTTGGAAGGGGGAGAAGAGGTTACCTTTAGACGCTTTCTACTAGTTCTCCGCATTCAGGGACCACCTCTGACCAAGCTCTCCTGACGCAGTAACTTATCTCCAATAACATCATTCATCGGAGTTCCAGGATGATCCTGTTCCCTGGTTTGTTATACCGAGTGAAGAATGAGTCTGAATTCCAGCACTGCTTAAATGCACTGGAAAAGATTGCTTCTTTGCTCTACGATGGCTTCACAGGCAGGAAAAGAGGGTGGTGTGGGCTGAGGGAGGAGGAGGAGGGAGGTTGTGCTGTCTTTTTTAAGTGACCTAATACCACCAATTAGGCAGCTGCGCTGCTTCCTACAGAAGGACACTCACAGCTGCTCCACTGGACTAGAAAGGAAGCTTTAATGCAACACTGTTCTGTTCTCTGGCTCCCATTAGCAAAGCATAAGGAGCAGAGCTGAAGGAAATGTTCAAATTAGCACTAAGCAAAAAAACTGGAAGGCGCCTGGCCTCAAAGGAAGGGTGCATCTGCAATGCATAACAAATCTGGGCATTACGCTGCCCTTTAACTGTTCACTTTCTTAATATGCAACTTACCTGTTACAGATTCTTCCAAAAATATTTTGGCATAAATATATGCCTGTGACTATGTTTTTATTTTGAGGGTATCCCAGAAGCATGGACTTCAGCTTTACCTTTAATAACCAAGTCAGATTTCTCCTCTCTGCAGAAGCCCTCTCCACATCTGCATTCCTCATCAAAGACAGGTCTCTCCCATCCACTTGCCTAGCCATAAAGGTTGGATTTTCATTCTTAATAAATACAATGCCATTTAAATAGAAGATGCTTCCTCAGCCTCACGAAGGGTGTTTGTGCCCGAAAGCTTGCTAAGAAAAATTTTCCCAACTATCTGAGTTGGTCTAATAAAAGATATTGGATTTACCCAAAGAACCTTGTCTGCCTAAGTTCAGTGTGATACAGTTCCTTCCTTCCGCTGCCCATGAAACGTCACATGCACGTAAGCCTATAAAAAAAAAAATATGCAAACATCTTATTTTCCTTACCTATAACAATCTTAGATCCCAGCACTCCTGGACTTGTATCTCCCTTGGTTAGGTCACTAAATGGCAAACTTAAATCCATTTCTCCATCCAGCATGACTCCTATATTTACCACAGCTTGGGGTTCGCTCTCCGTTCCTTCTGCAACAGGTACATCTTCTGGTTTCTTAACTGGCGGTTCAAGTGAACAGGGTGCCTCCCCTGAAGAAACGACTGAATCAGGGCCCTCTACTCTTTCTGTAATTTCATCTAGAGAAAACCCATCACCCTCTGGAACAAAACTCTTTTCTCCCACATTTTCCAATGGCTTGGCAGCATTTAAACTCTCTGAACACAATGAAGGAGGTGCTACAAATATAGCTTTGTTCTGCTCTTCTTCGTCTTCCTTGAGCTCAGCCAAGGTCTCTTGGGCCTCTTTCACTTCTGACCTAGCTTCATTCTCACTGGCCAAGCAGACAGTGTCTGAGCTGGAGTCACTATCACATGTGGCTTCTTCCACAATGGGCTGAAGTGATACCCTGGAAAGTACATTGTCCATATCCCCTTGGTCTTTTGGATAACTTGTTACTGGAGATCTCTGGGCCTCCTCTAGTGGTTCCATATTCTCACAGGCAACAGAAGAGGTGGTGTTCAGTCCCAAGGCCTCCTTTAATTCTGCACGTGCACAGCTTCCCTGTAGAGCTGGGCTGAGATCGCATTCTTGGTTCAATGTTGTGCTGGAAGGCCAGTCATCCTTTGCATCTTGTGATTTGTCCTCCAGTACAGTCTCTTGTGTGATACTTTCCCCTGCATCCACTGCCACATTCTCAGTTGCCTCCTGACAAGAGATTTCTCCCTGCAATCCAGTGTCTGCAGTACTATCACTCACTGCAGGCTGCTCACCCTGATTGCAAGCACAGGATTTCACAACAGCAACGCCAGGTTCCTTGGACAAGACGCTTTCTCTGCCAAATGCCCCACTTTGGTCCAGCTCCTGATTGGGCTCAGGGCTGTTTCTCTCAGCTGGCTGCAGGAGACTGCACGCGGAGTTCTCCTTTTCTCCGAGATCTGGGGGCAAATTAGTTTCTGTGGTTACCGTACCATGTTCAGAACTGCCCTGTTCAGCAACCACTGCCGTCCCTGCTACTTCCTGGTTTTGTTTAGATTCCTTATTATGAATTGCAGAGGGTGTGCCTATTAAATTATCCTGTATAGACTCTGTGTCCTTGGCACACGAGGATAATTTAGGATCATTATCATGCATGCATGCCTCCTGTCCAGAAGGTGACACTGCAGCACCTGTCTCCTGACTAATTGCTTGGCCCTGCTGTGTATCTTCCCTAAATACAGGATAGGCAAGTGGTCCCATTTCAGCAGTGACCCCCTCCAGTTCTGAAGTGCTTTCTGGAGTCAGTGCCTGGCTTTGCAGAGGCACTTTTCCTGCCAAAACCAAGCCTCCTTCATGTGGAAGGTGTGAATCAGGCTCACATTTGCAAGCTGCAGCAGCCTCTGGATTTAAGCTGTCACTTAGCTTGTCTTGATCAACAGCTTGATGAGCAGCACGGCAATTGCCAGCAGCCCCCTGGCCTCCATCTGCAGTGTCTGAGGTTCCTCTGCTGCTCATAGTTTCAGTTCCCGACATCTCCATGAGTGTTTTGAGGCTCTGCTCCACTTCAGCTGCTAACTCACCGGCTTTGTGGTCACATGCAGACTTGGTAGCAACTTCATCAGGCCTGCCAAAGGCACCCCGCTCGGCATCAGCGTTGGGATGACCGTCATGTGCGTGGTCACTCAACTCCAGCTCATTCAGCTCAAGAGCCAGGCTTCCATTGTCTGCCTGCACCCCATGCTCACTGCTCTTGCTATTGTTAACTTCCAGGACATCCAGATCCTGCTTCAATACATTCTCTGAAGGCTTTATCTCACTCATTGCCTGAAGCTCCTCTCCAGCAGCAGTCACACTCTGCCTCTCCTTCACAACAGGGGCAACTTGACCTGGGTCATCTGAGAAGCCATTCATTGCCGTTTCAGCCTGCAAGTCTGTTATACCCTCCTTGCTAGTCTCCCCAAAGCCATTTGGGAGAACATTAGCATCAGCCCTTGCATTTGCAGTGTCCTGTGCTTGCATCACCTGCATGACCACACCTTCAAAGGCAGCATCACTAACGCCACCAAGCAAGGGCTCAGCAGGACAGATCAGCTCCTCACCGGCTGGGAGCACTTCCCTCATGCTTGCAGCTCTGGCACCCCTCGCCTCAGCACTCGCATGTTCTTCATGCTGCTGTACTGGAGAGGCATCTCTAGTCCCCGCACAGTTCTTACATTCAGACTGGCCCATGGCCACATTGACACCCTCCCCGGAAGTTCGAGGTTTGCTTGCAGTTTCAACCGTGGTAACAGGGCTTTCAGTTGCGCACTCTTCGGCAATTTGCACTTCCTGATGGTTATTATCTCTGTTGCTCAGGCTGGTTTGATCCAGAATAACTCCAGTGGATGTCATTCCAGTTTCCTCATTTGTATTTCCACAGGATGGAAGGCTTGCAGCACCGTTTATTCCAGGAGCTGGGCTCAGTGTGCAGGCATTTTTATCTGATGCAGCTTCAGAGTCTACAATAGAGGCTGGCCCCTCCTCTTCCTTTTTACTCAACAAAGCTGTATTTTGACTTTCTGAGGAACACCCCCGGCTCTCTGTGCTCACCACACTCAGCAAATCACCTGACGTATCATTAAGCACTCCCAAACTCCCACTGTCGTTTTCATCCTCTTTGTGGCAGGAGGGGGCCAAGAACTGCCTTAAATCCAAGTCAGCTGTGGCAGAGGGTCCTTCTTTGCTGACTTCTGTCACCATTTCTTCCGAGCTGTGGGTTACAATAGCCTGCTGTCCTTCCATTTGTCTTCCTTTACTGCAATTATCCTCAGAAGTTCTCGGCTCAGACTCTGGCTGCTGCTTTGCATTCTGAAAAAGGGAAATAAAAATGATCACTATTTGTTTTGCAACATGCCACACTCTAATAGTGAACACATTGATTTATCTGACCCTTAAACCTTAACAAAGTACACAGAATGATATATGTCCCTCCCTCCATCTCCATGTGTATATCCATTTGCATTTACAAAATGTGCCATAAAAGGAAACTGTATTATCTTTATATCATGCCAGTCAGAGATACTGAAGGTTACTGCTCAAATAGATTCAAGCTAGGTGAACAGCAACATTTGCCCATTTTTTTTAAATTATGTAAATGACACGCATCTGAATGCACGATTTGGTGTCCAAATGGTTCATGTAATGCTGTCCAGTAGAAGCTCAGGGCTGAACTGCTGTGGATCATTTCCAGCTTGTATACACCATGGATCTTCCCTTCCTGACCAGAAGAGGATCACTGCTGGGCATGGTCCACAGTGTGGGAAGTTCTACTTTCACCACTGCCTAAATATCAAATTTTGGCTGATGATCAAAACCCCTACTGTGAAGAGTATATGCAACTAAAATACATAGACTCTATTTCCTTACCCCAAATAAAAATTTACCAGTAAAACTTCCAGCAGTCAGTGGCCCCTCACAGTTCAAATGCACTGCATTTACAGGATTTTTCTATGTACCGCTGATCGTCTAAGTATTCAAGTATAGCCACCTATAAACAAGAATCTGGATTCTCAAAGCCCTGGGGTTTTCAGCCTCATTTCTGCTTTGACAAAAAACAGCTGAGACCATTATCAATTATTACATAAGACTTAATAGTTTACAACTTTGTAGTTTAACAAGCACGTAAGCCTCAGTCCAAAGCTCTTTCCCTCCGGTAGCTGTGGTTAGGTCTAGTGGCAATGGAAAGGGCCATTCCTCTCTACAGAAAAACCCCTTAGTAAAAGTATGTCCTACAAGTACATTCAACAGCCTCTCCTCTGTTCCAAGTTTTAATGAACTTAAGCATGGCTCACTGCACAGATGCCTCAAAGTATTTCATCAAAAACAATCCCAGGGAAAAGTGGCCAACACGCTCATCTATGGAAAGGGGGCACCAACAATTTGAAAATTAAGCATTCAATGAAAACAGCTTCTTTTACTGGGTTTTTGCAGTTCAAGTTAATCAGTTTCCTTTATGCTTTGGCTAAGATAATGTAAGGTATTTTCCAGGTCCAGAAGAAGTAAAATTCCATAAAGGAGGGGCAGAGATGATAAAAGTTTTCCTAAGTATACGGGTAGTGGGTTAGATACTGTACCATTGAGACACCTCTGGAGGCTGCATTAATATGAGGGCCAGATGTTATAATGCCTATCTTTGACCTACTACTTTCAATATTCACAGAAGTCTCCTGTACTACAGTCGGTAGTGGCAAACTACTAACTTGTACCATTATTTGAATTTCTGGTGTTTGCAACTGAAGCCTACCTTAAATAAAAGTAATCTTCTCCTTTGTGTGCTACAACCTAGCACAGAACCCCAATCTTGCAATGCAATGCAAGGTGGATGCATGGTAGATACACAAGTGAATAAGAGGTGGTGGGCATTAACTGACAGATCTGACATCCTGCGTTGATACAGAAGCCCAAAGTGTTTGACCCCTGCTCTATAAAAAGCAAAATCACAAGGCAAAACCATTTTGGGGGTGTTATTTGCTATGCAAATGAACACATTCAAATGGAGTGTTAGCTGCCTGGTAGCTGTAACTGCAGCAGTCCACAGGGAATGCTCTACTGATTCCCAGCCAGCACAGATAGATACAAACAACAGTGACACTTGTTCTGGAACAAGATTTTGGACCAGAGGGGGGTCGGATCCCTCACGTCCTTGCAGTGAAGTCACAGTGCTGATAGACAGAAAAAATAGTGTCTTCCCTAGAGAAAGCCAACTGCCTTTCAACTGACCCTGAATGAACCTAAATGAAATAATTGCAGGGCTGCTTTCCAAACTCAAATCAGATTAGATGTGAAGTAAAGCAGGACTGGAAAAAAAAAATCTACACAGTTTTTCTGATTTCATTGTCAGACACAATATGCCCATCCAGTATTTGCATTATCAATGAGAAATGAACTTGGTACGTTGGCCACATTTTACTGTCATCCGGTGGGAAGTGGAGGTAAGGTGAAGCCATTCCAAAGTTAGCATTGTTTTACCACTCGTATCAGCAATTTCTGTGAAAATCCAGAGACGTTAACACTGCACGTTCAGACAAGTATGAGGGCTGTTGTTCAGAAAGATCAGTGTGTTAATAGTATCCTGGTTAACTGACCGATATTCTTCCTACCTCTCAGAAAAGTGATTGTTCTCTTTCTTTGCATCTTAGTGAATGGAGTGTGCTGTGTATAATCCTACGAGGCAAGTAGGATTATACACAAATATACAACACAGATCTCTGGAGGGAATGGTGGATGTGCAACAAAAACTGAAGGGTTCTATATAAGCTGTAAAATCCCAGCCTGCATTTTGTATTCCCCCACTGTCCCTAAAGAAAGAGGCTCTGTGGCAGCTACATTTAAGTATTGACAGTTGACTCTTCAAAAGCCCTGGCTCTTGATCTAACATGGCTCCCAATGACTCCAATAGGAACAGGCATGGTCACCTGCTAGGTTAAAGCCCAGTGCTTTAATGGGAGAGAGAAAGAAAAACCCACTGTGAACTCATTCAGGGCCAGACAGGAGTGAAGGCACTCTCAGAAACCTGTGCGGAGGTACTAAGAGGATAGGTGTGTTTTCACCAAGGCTCCTCACCTGGAGCACTGCCTCCTGCCTGATTTTGTTCTTCTTCCAAACAAAGAAACATCCCTGCCCTCCTAACCCTCCATTAACTCCAACCAGTTCCAGAAGCCATCTCATGCTCCCTGCCCAGTGACCCAACCTCCCTGCAGGGAGCAGCTCTGTGCTTCAAATGCTTCTCCTTGGCCCTCATGATGTGACCTTCCTCCTGCTAGCTGGTTCCTGGCCCAGAAAGATGACTCAGGAGCTGGCAGCAGAAATAAGCAGGTTACATGAAGAGGGAAGTGCTGGGAGAGGTCCTGACCCAGCTCCACCTCCCAGAAGGAAGAAACTTTCCCTCCTGTGTCTTTACAGTGCCATTACCAAGACCCCATAGCTCACCTGAGCCCGTATAAGGTAAAAGTCAATGGCGTAATTTGTAATGCATACATGAGCACTGCCTGTGGGCAAAATGCATACATGAGCACTGCCTATGGGCAAAAATGGCCCATAACCATTCCATAATTGCCATGGCCCCTTTCTCACCGTACGCCGGTGGGTTTTTATGCATTTCTGAAGCCGCTCTACATCATTCTCCAGGGCAGCCTTGGCTCCATTCCTGGCTTCAGCTGTCAGCGTGTAAACACTCAGCCCCTGGTGGTATTTCACGCAGCAGTCCCCCGAGTGCACGACATGAGACAAAGTGCTCCAAGAGTCAGGCTCGCCAGCATCTTCTCTGAAATAAAACATACTCGGGTTAATATATACACAAGGCTGAAATGCTGTGTCTCCGTGACATGCAGACTGTTCCTCAGCATGGATAGTCATTGAATCGGTGACCCAAGGAAAACAAGAGAGTACAGGCTCCAGGGCCAGTGAGACGCACCCACACACATGCATACACACATACACACACCCCAATCTTGGCACAACACAATAAACTTGAGTTCAGAGCTAGAGTCAATGACAAACTCCACTTCACATGGTCCTTCCAAATCTTACACTTAATTCAGCAACAGACCCAGTTTTTCCAAGCGCTAAGAGTATGTCAGCAAGCAATGATGAAGGGCATAATCACTTTTTAAAGTGAACTTAATGCAGGGGAAGGAGGCCAAATTGGCAGCCACAGAATGAAAACATTTTCCTGATTCCTGGAACAAAGGCAACAGGAAAATGGACAAGGAGGCAACAATTTCTATGGCATATACAGCCTCCTCCAGGTATTGGACCGACAGTTTTATCTTTAAAAAAATCCAGCATGGGAAAATGGTGTCTCATGTTAAATCTTCATTCGTGCAATGTTTAAAAAACTAGAGCTCAACTGTATTCCAGTATATATAAAAAGAACATATTATGAGTCAAGGTGCTGTCCCATTAGTCACACTACTTCACGCCATGATCACACAGTCTGAAGGATGGAGAAACATCCAACTATGAACTTTCCCATCCCTGTTATGCTCAGATATCCCACAAACTGGCACAGGTTGTGAGCTGAAACAGAGTAGAAAAAGTGGAATAGGACTTACATGACGGTTCAGCTATTTCTTAAATAAGAGCCTTTGGTCAAACACTGGACCCTAATTCTGCAAACATTTGTACAAGTGCTTAGCTATATTAACATAACTAGTCTCACCAACTGCAATGAGACAACACTCATACTTAAAGGGGGGGTATGTATAGAGTGAATACTTCCGCAGTTTTCCGTTCGCTTTGTTCCCTCTCCCCGCCTTTAAATGTTTCTTTCTGAATTGAAAATGAGTTCAAGGAACTACTTGTACATCATCCTTTTCATTCAGAAAGAAGCGCTTTGCATTATAGGACAGACTGGGGTTCCTCCTGTACACCACCCACCTGAGGACCCAGGGTACCCCCAGTGCCCCTCATATTGGTTATCCATACCACGAGCAGCTGGGCAATGGAGAAACCAGCCACCATCCAATACCTCGCGCTGGGGTGCATGTAAGCAGCACTGGATGGAAAGGAGTGAGGAAATAAAAGGGGTCTTGGCTTTATTGCCTGGGAGTCAGATTAGCTTTGGAAAAGGTTCATTTTGACTGGGAAGAAAGGCACGTTCTTCATTTGAGTTGACAGAGATGAGGTATGATTCAAGGGAAGACGAAGCAGTTTTTAGTCCTCGTGCTTGTTTGGAGGCCAAGTTCACAGCCTAGGTTTTATCTTGACCTGACAACATGGGTAAAAACCACCAACTGCCTTGTCTTCATGAAGCTGGTATCTCATATTAGATAATTTAACTGAAGATATCATTTCTTTCCCTGCTAAAG